TGATAGGACCCTAATCTCTCTAACAATGTATTTTTTTAAGTGCAGAAAAAAACATCTGGAAACTTCTGAAGCTGTATTAAGGTCATCTTTAGAAAACAGCACACAGCTGTTATATGACCGCTTACTGTTTATGCTTTTTCAGTCAAGTTTCCAACCGTTTTCATCTGACTTACCCAGAAAGTCCATTCATGCGATGTAAAGACCTCTCAGTAACACCACTTCTCATGCTTTATTTTGATGTACATCTACACTCAGTGTTTAAACTAGGGGTGGGGGAAAAAATCGATACTGTGTAGTATCGTGATATTTTGTTTGCTAATAATGTATCGATACAGGGACAGCAGAAATCGATATTTTGTTACAAAAAAAGTTGACTGGAACATGCTCTGACTTCAGAGCATGTTGATCCTTTTTCTGAGCAAGAATCCTGACATTCCTTCACTGTCCAAATGTGTTTAACTTTTTTTTGGCAGCAATAAACATGACAGTTTACTTATTTTAATTTAAGACATGTTTTATTTTAATTAAGTTTAAAACTTTTTTATTTAATGTAAAATTATATTTTGTTTTAATTTACTTTCAAATTCTTCAGTTGCTGAATGGGCTGCATAGTTTTCATAAATTGCATAGTTCACAATAGCTATAATTCTACCAGATGGTTGCATTCAGTTAAGTTGGACTAGACTGTAATACAAACCATTCAGTTTGTCAACAATAAAACTGACTGAAATGAGAGAAAGACTGAGTGCGAGACTTTGATATTAGATAAAATGAATATTGATAAAGTTTAACTTTATGTACAGAATCTCAATATTGCAAAATATTTTAAAAAATTGCAATAATATCGTATCGTGCGTTAAGTATTGTGATAATATCGTATCGTGGGATGTATGGTGATTCCCACCTCTAGTTTAAACCACCAGTAATTTTAATTTTTTCCCTGCCTAACATGATGTTTAGTCACCATTTTCAACAGTTTATCCCTTATTTCTGCTATTGTTGGTAAAATAAGGAATCAACTTGTCAGTGCCCGCTTTTTTAATGGACCTGACTCCTGAAGTAAAATTCCCCATTCATTTTCTCCATGTCCAGATGATTTCCTGATGGTTTTGGTTGGTGGATCAAAATATGTCATCGTTGACATTTTTTTATATATTCAACTAAAGAAACTGGAACCAATATGTTTATATGACAGACTGTTGATAACAAAGTGCCTAAAGATAACATTTAAAGTTAGTTCTTTGTTGTCATTTATGAGTAGACACCCCTACTCAAGGGGTGTTATGCTTCACCCCTTGAGTTTGGTGCCTTTTGTGTGCTTGAATGTTTCATAGGTCAGTGTTAACAGGTTCAAAAAACAAAACACAAAAAAGGTCAGGCACAAGAACTGGACTGACAATGAGTGAAAAAGCAGTCAATGTACAAAGATGAATGTTGAAAAAGCTTAAAAAACAGGAGAACTGTTTCTCAACATTTCTTACACCTTAAAAAACTATAAGAAAGTCTGGTTCCTTGGAAACGGGGATCAAGACTTTGCTGATGTTTTCCGTCATGTATTAGACTAATGTTCATTTTGTACCATTGTTCAGACATTTCACACCTCTTTAAATGCTGTATTTCCATGTTTTGTGTGACAGTTATCAAGCTGAATCTCATCTAATCTAATAATGATAACTGCTCCCAATGGCTTAGTGGCTCCTTGATGCAGGGTGTGGTAGGTTTTATTGATTTTATAAACTGACGGCAGTAAACTGTTATTTAACAGAGGCTGGATCCTGTTTTATTAGCCAGAATTCAAACTCTGATGAGAAATTAGTTTTTTATTTATTGAGTTATATTAAGATGTGGAACATTTTTATTTACCATTTAGAGACATTTTCTTCTATAATTTTTTTCCAACAGTTAGACGAAAGGTTCACTAACACTCTCATATTGTGCATTTCAATAGGAAATTATAGTAAGTGGCCATTAAACTTAATTTGTGACCTCGAAAGTAATAGCACAGTTGAACTATGCTTGAATTTACATGCACACTGATCCGGTTAATGATCAGTAGTTGTTATTTCCTGTTTTAATCACATATATATATATATATATATTTAGTTTTCAGAACATTTATAGTTTATTTATATTGTCTGACATTATATGGAGTTGTGACTGCCACAGTGTTTGCTGTAACTGATAACTTAGTTATCTAGCTAACAGGATAATGTTAGCTAGGATTAGCTTAGTAGAAAACTATAAAATAAAAGTCATAAAAATGTTCTTTTTCTATTATTTTCATGCACTTTATTAAGTTTTTTATTTTTATTTTCTTTTGTTTTCTGTTTTAAATACTCAAGTGGTTCATAACTAGCAGCTTTTCTCTGGACCAGGTAAAGGCAGGACATCATAAAATGCAGGAGTGTATTCACAGAGCAGGATATTAAATAAGTAACCCTGATTTAACAAATGAAATAAACTTGTTTTTTTTTTTAACCCATATGAATTTTTTGTTGTCATATACATGTTATACAGAGTCTAATCTTCAATGATAAGGATATATATTTATCTGTGATAAATTTATGCTAACATTTTGCTGTGATCTGTTCCTGCTAAAAGAAAGTTCTTCCTCCCTCCTTTCACCATGTCCTTGCCCACAGGCTCATCATTCTCTCTTTAATATTGCAGGATATTTATCTTACAATACTAGGCACTTTTAGAGTTCGATCTGTTCAGTATTACAAAAAACTAGCAAATGAGTCCATAAATAATCGCTATAAGTGTTTGCCGAGCGCAGGGATCACACATTTCTTCATAACTGGATTTCGATTTTCAATCACAGCTGTCGCCGCCTAGTGACCATAAGGATAATGCTATTTTTGTCATTTACAGAGTATCAGTCCTGGCATGAAAATCTCCCCATCTAGAGGGCAAAAAGCTTCTTCTTGTATTCCTTCAAGTCATCCTTACAGGGTTGAGAGCGAACCGTGCCAGCAGCCTTTCTCTGTCCTCCTCAGCGAGTAATCCCGGTCGGGCTGGCCGGCATGAGGCTGCTCTGAAGGGGATGAGAGAAGGATTCCAGCAGGGTGTTTATAGTCAACATGAACGGCATTTTAAGCCGATCAGCAACGCGAAGGACGAGGCGCACATACATCCCGAGCTGAGCCGAGCCAATGTGAAGCAGCAAACCGACTTGCATTACATTGTTTTTATTTATTTTTGTATTTTTAATCCTTCTTCATTTTATTTTATTTTATTTTATCTTAATCTATTCTGCACATTTACTCCTGCACGCATGGCCATTTTGACTTGTTGCCCTGATCATTTATTCTAGGATAAAGAAAAAGCAAAGCGGAGCGGGATCTGTGTTTTAAAAAGCAGCAGATATTATAATTATAATAACGACGACAGCACAGGCGCTCACCTTATTACACGGCCGCAAGTCTCCGGCGCCTTTAACTGATGATGTATGAGCGGCGATGATGATGATGATGGTGGTGGTGGTGGTGATGCTGAGTAAAAAGCTGCAGCTTGGGGACCGGGAGGCCCACGCCTGCTCCCTCATCCTCAGTCCGGGTCACAGAGCGCCGGGTGTCCGCTGCCTGGAGCCGCGTACTCGAAGCGGGCCGCACAAGAAGAGTACCTGTCATTGATGCTCCCGCCTGCCTGTCTCACCCATTCTCCCCTCCTCCACCCACAACAGCGTCAACAATCTGATAATAAAAATCGTTTCCGGTACAGGTTTTCAAATTAAAGCTGTCTTGTTACGTCCTATGAACCTCAGTTTTTATCACAACACCGTTATCCTGGGTTTATTCTCCAGGGTTTTACAATGTGTGGTTATTATTATTATTTTTTAATTAAAAATATATGCAGTGCACTGGTGTCCTTTCTCTCAGTAAAACTGTGTACGATCTTAAAATAAATGTCTCTGAATATTAGTGAAGAGAGTTAATCATTAATCTGAATAATGAGATCTGCATCTGATGGAAAAAGATTATAATTTAAAATACAATACATGTAAAAATATTTTTTTTCCTGTTAATGGTTAACGGCGGTGTTAGTTAGTTGTAACAGCTCTGTTGTGATTCATCATCAAGGTGACGCCAGTGACAACTTCTATAAAAAAAATTCTAAACCTATAGTGCATCAAACCACATGTTGTCAGTCTTGTTTTTCTCACAAAATTTATTTCTTCTTTCTTTTTCAGTTCTCTAACAACTTCAACTAAAAGCTTCATATGAAATTATGATATAAAAAAGAAAAGGTCTGAATTTTTTTTTGCAGCGCTTCAAGAAACATGTTACAGGAAGTCATTAGATGTCGGCACCACGGTGTTTTCCTTCAAAATAAAAGGCTTTTCTTAATCAGCAACGCCAGTGACACAACTCCAGGGTACCGTTACTTTGTTTAGATACTTCATAATATTTATTTGACATTTTATGTTTGTCATATATGTATTATTGCAAGACACAACATTGTCTTTTTAGTGCTCCATAGACTCAAGGGTTAGTGTTAAATGACCTAATAAGTGGAAATCATTCTTCTGTAAATATGTACAAGAACTGGACTTGAAAATGATTTAAAAAAGCAGCCAATGTCCAAAGAAAAACTTTGAAAGATATTCAGAAATCCCGGAGAACTGCTGCTCAAGCCCACTTTAAAAATGACAAGAAAGTCTGGTTCCTTGGAACCAAAATATGAAGAAATTATGGTCAAGTTGAGGTGACCACAGCCAATAGCATCTCTGACAAAGCCCCAAATTAAATTTTATTTAATTAAAAAACCTAAATAAATAATAACAACTAACTAATCAAAATTAGCCAAACCAAATAAAATAAGTAAATAGAAATAAATAAATAAACAATCACAAAAATCAAAAAGGGGATCAAATATTTAACATACTCCTGTCATTTATTCAAACCATGTTATGTAATTCTAATAACGACCTGCTGGGGGCAGTAAGGTGTCTTCGATACGCCTAATCTGCCAATAATTCCAATAGAAGAAGACGCACATGATGTAGGGTGCAGAATCAAAACAGTTAAATTTGACAGCTCGACATTGTCCCTCACAAGGAAAATGTTATGAAAACGTTCCTGGCAGGCTGAGAAACAAACCGTGATATTCAACCAACATTTTCAGAAAGTGGGGACGAGTTGTGGAGGAATGCCATCGCGGGGAAAAGTTTTTTTGGCCGGTTTATCCGGGAGCGGTTGCAGCGCCTCTACAGCTAGCTGATTAGCTTCCCAGCTCCATGGCGATCTACGGGCTGAACATTACCATATATAGACCGGGCACGGAGCTCCCTGGCCGGTGAAATGTAAACGGCGACGGGCTCGGGAGACTGAGAAAGGGAAAGCAAAGACAAAACTCAGCTTGAGAGACCAAAACCACCATCTTCACCATGTCATCCGAGCAGATCATCGCCATCATCATGGATGACAAAACCTACGAGGTGAATAAAAAGAAGCTGATCGAGAAGAGCGACTACTTCCGAGCTCTGTACAGCTCGGGGATGAGGGAGTCCACGGAGGACTCGGTGCAGCTGCAAGGACTCAGCGTCCTGGGCTTGGAGCTGGTCCTGGAGTTCATCAACACCTCCAAAGTCCAGGTAGTCAACGAGACTCTGGAGGACCTGATCGAGACCGCCTCCTTTCTCCAGGTCACCTCCATCCTTAAGCTCCTCACTTCGGAGATCCGGCTGGAGAACTGCGTGGAGCTGTACAGCCTCTCCGAGGTGTATGGGACTCACGACCTGCGTACTGCTTGCCTCAAATACATGACCTGCTACTACCACCCCATGCTGAGGCGGCCCGAGTTCAGCAGCCTGGCCTCTGCTGTCAGGGACCAAGTCAAGGAGATGCGCATGAATGGCACTGCCACCCTGGTGGCCATCGGAGACTTCACCAGCCTGTCCCTGGACGTTCCGGATCAGGATGAGCCCTGGTCCATGCTGAGGTATGGAGAGGTGGAGCAGCGCTGGAAGCCCCTCGCCAACAACCTCCCTCCAGATATGATCAACGTCAGGGGGTATGGGTCGGCCATCCTCGATAACTACTTGTTCATAGTTGGCGGGTACAGGATGACGAGTCAGGAGATCTCTGCTGTGCACTGCTACAACCCCTGCAGGAACGAGTGGAACCAAGTGGCGCCACTCAACCAGAAGAGGTAACACGAGTCCCCCCTTGGTCCCCATTGGTTGCCTTACATCGCATTTCAATCAGTGATTCTTCTCATGCAGGTCCAACTTCAAGCTGCTGGCCGTACAGGGAAAGCTGTACGCTGTGGGAGGCCAGTGTCTGGGCACAGTGGAGTGTTACAGCCCTGAGCAGGACTGGTGGACCTGCGTCTCCTCGATGCCCGACCCGCTGGCTGAGTTCTCTGCCTGTGAGTGCCAGGGTATGATCTACGTCATGGGTGGATACACTGCGAGAGGTGTGTGTACAGGAGCTACAGCAGCATATACACTAACACGCCAACACAGTCCGACAACAGTTTGGAGAGTAACTGTGAATTTTCATCTAGTGATTCTTTCTCCTTGACATGAAGCCCACATTTAGAGGTTCAAGGTGACATGAATCAGTTCACAGCAGAAACCACAGTGCGAGATAACCTGAGTAAATACAAAATGCAGTCTTTAAAAGATAATTTCATTTATTAAGAGAAAAAAGTTATCCAAATCTACCTGCCCTGTGTGAAAAAGTAAATACTCCTCTTGTTAACTCATAGATTAATTGTGATTAACCACATTTTTTTAGCCACACCCAATCCTGACTACTACTTTTTCATGGCACTTGTAGTTATAACTCCTCCAAAAAGCCTCTGAGAAATGAAGGGAAAAAACAGAACTTAATTCCACAGAGTAAAAACCTCCCCAGCACAGTGGCTAGCACTGTTGCCGCACAGCAAGAAGGTCCTGAGTTCAATTCCACCATCAGGCCGGGGTCTTTCGTGTGGAGTTTGCATGTTCTCCCCGTGTTTGTGTGGGTTCCCTCTGGGTACTCCGGCTTCCTCCCACCGTCCAAAGACATGCATCTTGTGGGACAGGTTAATTGGATAATCCAAATTGCCACTAGGTGTGAATGTGTGAGTGAATGTGAGTGCGAATGGTTGTCTGTCCCTGTGTGTTAGCCCTGCGACAGACTGGCGACCTGTCCAGGGTGTACCCCGCCTCTCGCCCTATGACAGCTGGGATAGGCTCCAGCGCCCCCCGCGACCCTGAAAAGGATAAGCGGATGGATGGATGGATGGAAAAACCTCCCTTATGGCTGTATGGTATTTTCAGCCTCTGGTTAGTCTCAACAGATGTTTGTATCTCACGGTGATTCTGTTGGAGAAGACTTCCTGTTAAAAGGAGTTCTTCCTCCCTGCTGTCGCCATGTGCTGCTCATAAGGGATCATCTGTTTTTTACTTTTAGTGTCAGGTAACTGTAACGCTCATATCAAGGCAGTTTATAGTGTAAAGACAGTAAACATTTTCCTGATGCGTTTTACTGAAAACATCAAGATGTTTGTTTTGTTAAGGGGAAAAAATTAGGCTTAAAATAAGAGAAACGAGAGAAGAGGAACAAACAAAACACAGATACCCAGGACAGTGTCTTTTCCTTATACTGTGAGGTGACTAAGTAAAAGTAAGTTAAACTGAAAATGACTTTGTGTGAATTCAGATTTTCTTGTTGTTGTATTGTTGCACTTCCTCTCAGTTGGCTGTGGTGTTTGGCACGTTGTCCTTGTGTTGTTTTGTCACTGTTGACAGTTTGAAGTAGATGTTTTACATACCGTTAATGCAGAAGTGCATCCATCCCTTTCTTTGTTTTCCGTTCCTCACCATAAAGGATTTGGGATTATCCAAATCTGATCGCGTTTCCACACTGCAGCTTCTTCTGGTGATTTGTTAATAACAAAGTCTGAAACATCCAGCTTCACCCTCCTCTTTGACTCTAATGGGACCACAGTTTACAAAACAAACATCATGTGCTTTGCAGCCATAAACTCATCAGCAAAGTGTTTACTGAGTTCATACTAAGAGGGAGCCGAGGACCTTTTCTCATGCACTTCTGTACAATGTAACCATCTGCCCCCTGCTGGCTGTTAGAGACGCAGGCTTTGCTGCACCCACCAGACGTTTTTGGATCTTTCTTACCTACAGCTGTTTATATTCGCAGATTGAGTTCCTCTTGAGCTGCAGTTTACTTTTCTCAAACAAAATTAAATCACTTTTTTACCCCCTTTAAAAAAACTACTCTAAAGGCATTCGTTAGAACCATTATGTCCATGTCACATTTTAGTGCCTAACGAGAATTTTAAGTAAAGTAAAAAAAATAATAAATACAATAAGCAAAAAGACAAAAATATAACTGAAATGAGAAATCACGCAAAAAGTTATTAAACTTTTAAAGTAAAAGCATGGACTGCTCATGCACCTTAAGGTAGTTACTACACACCCAGACTGATCTCTGAATTACTCATTATTTCTATATTGAGTCATTTATTTATTTATTTAAGATTTTGGTAGTTTGGATCCTTCATATTTGGGTCTACTGAGCTGCTCCTGCTTCTTATAATCCTATAAACTCTTCATTTTAATGTGTATTTGTCCCTTTACCAGTCAGCAACATATCGTTTATAATCAGGACACCTTGTCCCGGATTATCTCTTATATAACCTTAATTATAAGGGATTTAGCACTGCTGGGTGAACAAGATGTTAAAGCGGTTATTGCTTCCATATTTGGGTTTTTGTGGAGTAAAAAAACCCACAAAAATGCATTGAAGTTGAAGATGAGCAACTTCAATGCATCTCCCAAGTTGTAGGAGATTTTATAAGATTTAAAAACTATTCTTTATTTTATTATCGGTTTGTTTATGTTGGAGCACATTCTTACATTTCTCTTTGTTAATTATTCAGTCATTCTGTGGTTTTTTTTTTGTTTTTTTTAATTTTATTTTGGGCTTTCTAATATTAAATATTTAACAATTACTCTCGTAAAGTTTTTTTTTTTGTTTCTTCTTCCCATTACACCGGACAGAGAGGAACACAAACATCCTCCGATACTGCCCCATCTCTGACACCTGGACAACGTTCCGATCCTGCCCGGCTCACATCCGGAAGCAGCAGATGCTCTCCGTGGAAGACACCATCTACCTGGTGGGTGGCTACACCCACGAGCTGGACACGGGGCTGTGGCGGCGACGTCCCAGCCAAACGGAGGACGTGCTGACGGTGCAGTCGTACAGCGTCACCACGGGGGAGTGGCTCCAGCTGAAGGAGAACACGTCCAAGTCGGGACTGAACCTGACGTGCACGCTGCACAACGACGGCATCTACATTATGAGCCGGGACGTCAGCCTGCCCACCAGCCTGGAACACCGCGTTTTTCTCAAATATAACATTTTCTCAGACGCTTGGGAGGCCTTCAGGCGCTTCCCGGCTCTGGGACAGAACATGCTGCTCTGCTCACTTTACCTTCCTAACGTGCTGTGACACGCAGAGCGTCAGGAAAGCTCGAGCACTGTTAACAGACCAATTATTGTTGCACTCATTGGGGATCTGTGGCGTCAGGGTGTGGTTGACAGTTTGAACGCCTCGTGACCGCCGTGCCTCGGATTTAAAAACTTGAAAAACGTGCACTACGCTAAAGATACTGCTGTGGATGCAAATGGAAAAGCTATAATCACAAGTGTGGCCCAAAGCATCATCAGAGGTAGCACCAGTTTGTGCCTCTCATGTGTTAAAGTCAGCAGTCACCATTAAATAATCACCAGGTGAAGTTTAGAAACCACAGAACCAGCTGCTTTTGCCTTTTGAAGGCATTTCCACAACCCTCAAAAAGTCTCCTCTGACCATCTGGATGAGCACATGATGGTTGGATTGCAGATTTGAAAGGTGGAGGAACAGCATACATATGGTCAAAAGAGTCTTTTAGGGTCCTGGAAATGATGTTTGAGTGTTTCTCAACTTCATCCCTTTTCCCAAGATTAACTTTATCTTGAAGGCATGTCGAGTGCCAGTCGTCAGACTGAGACTGCAAAGCAACAATCTCAAAAAAAAATCACAGAAAGTTCAGCCGAAGTCACAAACTTTATGATCACACCTACTATTTCATTTTGATGCCGGCAGTTAGTTCGTCTTTGTTTTTTTTTAAAGACATAAATGTCTCAATCGGATGGTGACTGTAAACCCCAGAATACACTGGTCAGGCCCGCCTGAGCAATGCTTGCACTTCTACCACACGTCAGACTCTTCGTCTAAAATCCCGCCAGTCTGTTCTATTGAAACCATCACGAAACTGATCAGTTATTATTATTATTATTATTATTAATTTATCGCCAACATTTTATAAATATATTTCGGATGAGAAAAATATTTCCAATTCAAATAGTGTAAATTATATCACGTACAGAGCTTTAACAACATAACCTCTTTGTGTGATGCAGCATGTGAAAACCAATCTGAAGTCCAAATTTCAAAACTTCTAGTTTAACAAGCAAAATATTCATTTTTGTTTCTATGAATTTCTTTCAGAGAGACTAAAAAGTCTGCAGCATCACTGTGGGGATGAGGTTTCCCTATATTTGTAGACTGTGAAGTTAAAATAAATTTTTGAAAAACTGGAAATTAATTTTGCGCACAGCCTGGATCCTGCATATTTTTCACATGCTGTGTTACTCTTTAACCTTTACAGCGTGACATTTCTGTCCACACTCTTTCCAAAAATCATTTAACAAAAACACTGAGAAAATAAACTGAAAGAAAATATTAAATACTGCTTAATTAAAAATTTGAATAATAAAAAATATACTAATTAGTTTTAATTCTTTTTTTAGTTTAAATTTTTTTTATTTATTTTTTATTTTTTTCAGTTTTTCATGTTTTAATTTATTACTACATGGAGGATATTTAGCAGGTCCCAGGCTTAACAAAATTCAGAATAATCATTATAATAAAAACATTTTTTGGAACCAGCTGACTCAGTAAGCACAGACTGCAAACACTAAAACTACTGACAGTTTCTCTATATTTTTATTTTAGTTGATTTTTTTTAATTTACAAAAAACTTTTTATTTGTTTTATTTATTTTCTTTCTGTCTAGTTTATTTTATTGTATTTAACTAAAATATTTCAGCACCCGGAGTTTTCAGGCGATTTGAAAAACCCCTCCGCCTTTGAAATGAGACATGACACTCCGAGTTAGGCTCTGTGCAGATCTCCTGCCTGCCACTGTTTTGTTTTAAGCAGACTTAAAACGCTAAAATCACACGCACTTTTCTACTTTTACATCCACGACCATACAAAACATGAGAGGCACTGACGTGGGCTGCATAACAGCATGCTTTCAAATCTAACGGCCACGTTATTCCTGATGTTTACACTCCATTGGCATCAAAGTTTAACATAACACAGCACAACACACTACAAACCTTAAAAATATCTCAGAAACAACATGCATTAATGCTCTGCACATGGCAGGTAATCATAACGTGGCTTTGGTTTTACACTGCCAGTCGTACAAGGTTCCGAAGTTCTTTCAGAGGGAGCTTCATGTGTTGTATGAACACTTGCATAGTCTTACTCTTCAGAGAGACACTAAGAAAAGCTTAAAGCGCGATTCCATGAACTGATGCACACGTGCCTTCTGCAAGGATAAAAACAGAAACAAAGCACAAGATGCAGGACTCTGTTACATTTCCAGCAACCGACCAATATTGCTGTGTTTACTTTCTGATTTTTGCTGAAGCAGGTTTTGTTTTCATTTCTGCGATGAATGGAGGGACGTGTGCAGGTTTGAGAAGTGAGTCTGAAACTGCTGCAGTGGTTGTTTGACAGTTTGGACATTTAAGTTATGACCAATAAAGGTGAAGTTCAGGGGTCTGTTCCAGTGTCTTCTCTTTGCTAAATGCTATCCTACTAATCAGACACACACACAACGGAGAGTGTTGTTTGCACATTCACTGGTTTCATTACACTGGTTCCATTTCAGCCAGAGACACAAATCCCACATCTGGCTATAAAATTCAGACATGCTGAGCTACCCGCTGTGGTGACCCATTGGGACTAGGGAACAGCCAAAAGTAGCTTATTTTCAACCAGCAGAAAGGACTGATTGTTTTTAACTCTGATAATCTATGATGTGACATCCTACCAAAATATCTTTTCCACTTTCCGGGAACATGACCCTGGAGAAAGTCCTGCCTCTGAGGGTCACCCTGCTCCATTCCTTCCCAGGAAAAGTTGGCACAAATGCCTGGCCTGCAAGTGCATTTGCTCCTAATTTGAGGCTTCATTCATGGTCCATGAATTAAGGGTTTCTGTGATATTATTTCCATCTTATATTAATTTGTTTACCCATTTGTGAAATATTAAACCTCAAATCAACAGAACGATCATTTTTAGCTCACCTTTACTAGTATGTCTACTATCACAAGTCACCTATTTTGGCTTTTTTCAATTAATTCAACAGTGTTTCTACAATTCTAACAAACTAGAAAGTCAATATTTGGTATGATCACCTATATTCTTCAACACAGCGTGAACTTTCTTGGCAACTTTTAAATTATTTCAATAGCCTTTCAGTATAAATCTCCTGGCTCCTTGAAGGACATTCAAAACTCTTCCTATGTTGGCTGCCTTTAGATAATTCCACACTGCTTTATAATGTTGAGGTCCGCGCTCTGGCGAGGCTAGTATAAGACTGATAGTGCTCCAATGTGTGTTTCTCTTTCCAGGTATGCTTTAAATGTATTGACAGCGTGCTTTAGATCATTGTCATGCTGAAAAATGAAGCCAGCGCCAATCAAAACCTTTCCTGATGGTTTTATTTGGTGGTGCAAACACTGTTGGTACTTTTCTGTGTTAATAATTCCATCAATTTTGACAATATCCCCAACACCACCAGCTGAAATGCATTTCCAAACCATGACAGAGCCTCAGTGTTTTACAGATGGCTCTAAAAACTCATTGTTACCTCTCTCCTAACCTCATCTGTACATACTGATGATGATTTGAACCAATTATACCTCAGACATTTCTCCCGGCAGCCACCCTTCCACCGAGGCCATTTCTGATGATGCTTCAGTGAACAGTGGCAACAGATGCAACTCTAATTTCATTGTCAGGTCTTTGATCTATTTTTTTATTTTGCTTAAGGACATGACTTTCAGTTACTGTTCATCTGCTGTGCCTTAAGATACAAAATTAATATTGGTTCTTCGCTAAGTTGTCCAACTGTAACACAGGACATGTACAGTACAAAGGAAAAAAACAGATTCTTTTGAATAATGGCTGGTTGTGCCTCAGCGCTTGTCTTGCATTGCCATTGTAATTGACCCAGAGATAATGTGGAAGGGCTTACGTGTTTTATGATTTAGGGGTTTCAAAACATTTCTTTACTGATACAAAAGATGCACGTTAGGCAGAAAAACTCAACCAGCAGGTGGCAGCACACAAACATCAAATCCCTCGGCAGTATTTTCCACTTCACCTTCACAAGGACTCCCTCTGCCAGATGAAAATTATACACTTTAAAAAAGCAGTCTTTATATATATATATATATATATATATATATATTAACACGCACCCTCTGCAAGGATACACTCATTAAACACTGTGACTGATAAATGAGCAGCCATACTACACTTCAAAGAAACCCTCCACACCTCCAGGCCAAATCACCACTGCTGTATAAAAATGTGTCATCGCGTAGAGGTCATGATGAACGGGATATTTATAGCTTTTGATGGTGTGGAAGGATGGAAAGGAGAAAATGGATTCTTTAATTCAGGCGGGAAGGAAATCAATTGTTGCCATTGGTGGTGCAGATTGATCCCCTGTTTGGGGTCGTACCACAGCGAGCTCTTGCACCTACACAGCGGGGGGCTACCGCTGTTGAGCTCGGGGGGACTGATGCTGCAAACTGTGTCGGGCTCAGAAGCAACACACAGGGGTGACAGACTGTGTGTGTGGGTGGCTGTGCCAGTTTAAAAGACTAGACGAGGCAGAGAAATGCTTACTGCGATGGTTAAGAATGTGGTTACAGATTAGCAGGGGAGCGGTGAGGTCTGATGTACAAAGAGTCAGCTGGGAAAATATGCTCAGTGTTTGGGGGTGAGGGAAAGAGGAAGGCTGAGAGGAGAGAGAGAGAAACACTACCGAAGGCAGAGAAGTATATGTGAGAGAGAGAGCGATACAAGGACAGACAGCTCTAAGGGGAGGGGAGGAAACACTTACACAGACTCTGTCACACCTTCCACACAGCCTCGCAGCCTCTGTGAGAGACTCAGCAGATCTTGACGTTGTGAGGAAAGATGCACATGAGAGGAGCAGGACAATAGCTCCTGGGAGAAATACATGCTCAGGACTATACAGCAGCATTTCAGAGAGAGCAACAGAGGCAACATTTAGAGGTTTATTCTGCTGCTGAGGACCTTAAAGAGGACAAGAGCTTTACGTTCTTTGGAGGGGTTTCTCCTCTTCTGCTGCCGCCGTGAGGTTACAGTCTCCGTGCTCCCGTGCACAGCATCAGAAAGAACTGGTTTTAATAGCCTGAGACAATGAGCGAGGCGAAAAAAGGAGAGATAGCAATCCGGGATAAAGCCATCCTGCACCAGCAAAGGCGTCTGAAGCAGGCCACCCAGTTCACACACAAGGACTCTGCTGACCTCCTGCCCCTGGATGGTCTGAAGAGACTGGGCACATCTAAAGACTTGGTGAGTGAGCTGCATGAGTGTCTAAACTCAATTGGAGAGGCGGTGATGTGCATGCAGGTGCTTGGCAGCTGTCAAAGGTCTGCAGTGAGCAGATTCATTTGCCATAACCTGCTGCTCACCTAACCCACACTTTGACTCAGCTGCAACAGTTTGGGTTGGGATTTTGTGATGTAATGTGATTATGTTGTTTGTGTTCTGTGTTCGACTTGAATACAGCTTCCCTTGTCAATTATGGCCAATGATTGTTGTGTAATTTGTTGGCATTTCATTGGCTGGAAACAAACCTACAGGCCTACGATGGCTGTACCAACAACACTATATGGTGTAGAAGGGTGTGCTGAGACACCCAAGAGCTGAAAGAGTCGGTGGAAGTTTAAGGATGTTGTAGATAGAGCTCGTGAAATAAAGAAATCGTTTGAAGGTTGCCAGGCTATTCCTTGCTTTGCACAAAAAAATTGTACAGTAAGCAAAAAATTGGCTTAAACTACTGCCCCCCTGGTCTGAAGACGTGGTTCTCTGACGGGAAATGGTGGAACGCTCCATCGTGGTTGGGGGTGAGAGACTCCCCCAGCTCTGTTTAGCCTTAGGGGTACAGTGAGGAACTCAGAATAAGGTCCCTGCTCCTTTATGTTAAGGAGCCAGTTGAGGTGGTTGGTGCATCTGGTTAGAGGAAGGATTCCTCCCTTTGGAGGTTTTCTGGGCATGCACAACTGGGAAGAAAACCCCAGGGTAGAATCAGAATGCGCCGGAGAGATTATATGTCTCGTCTGTCCTGGGAACACCTCAGGATCTCCCAGTAGGAAGTGGAAAGTGCGGCTGCTTAGCCTCCTGCCTCACAATGGAAGACGATGGATGGATATCGAGTTTGCTGTCAAGTAGAACGTACAGCTACACTCACCATGTAAGACAGTGAGGCTCTCTGACCGCAGTGATTTCACAGCCAAATGAAATGACAGTAAGAGGTTTTACTGGAAAAAACAAAGATAATTTTGCTGCTTTAATTTTTAAGTACCACCTTAACTGTACTGTAACTGGACTCTAACTTATCAGAATTAAATGACAAAAAAAGTAACAGCCAGAAAACATCAGATATAATTTACCATTGTAGATACAGGATGGATTCATCCAGTCATCCTGAATCAAACATGCAAATGTTTGTGCCTTCCGGAGGATCCCTAATTGAATTATCTAAATAATATAATAGCTTGCAGTGAGGTAAAACCTGTCTAAGAAACTTGGGCTTCAGTTTTGGTGAATGTAATTTTAGTATTCTGGCGACTGCACCCATGCTAGCACTCCACACTCTTTTCCAAATATGGTATCTTCTGGTTGTGAAACACAATACTCAAAACAATACTTCACTGAGGCTTTGCAATTTGGAGTCCATGGCCAGTCGGTCTTGGCATGGTCGTAATGTCCATCTTTTATTTACAGGCTTTGTATTCCACCTTGGTCACATTTTGCTCGCTCTGCAAACACTAAAGCCTGCATTTAACATTTTTAACGTATGCAGCAGTGTTTCTTAAGACCCGATGGAGCTAATCACTTCACTGCCACTTTGACAGCCATTATTCTCTCCACTGTTGATTAATTATTTGGATTAACTGTGAAAAAAGTTAAATTTCCATCCCTGAGTCCAAAATTACATCCTTTTTTATAATATCAGACCAGCCTCCAAAACCACTTTATAACAATATAAAATGGAGAAAAGCTGCAAATCCTCTTGTTACTGCATGGCCATTAAGTGTAACCTCTAAAATAAAGATTCATAAAACATTCACAGTCATGCACTCTGCATACAGAGAGAGGAACGTCTTGTCAAAGGAGTTTACAGTTCACCGAGCAGGCCTCTCAAATAGAGACTGAAGTTAGTGCACACTTGGAAACAGACACACACTTTAAGGGTTGACATACAGGATGAAAGACAGCCCTGCAAGTAAAGTGGGGCAAGTCTGACCTGCTCACTTCCTCTTCCCCCAGAAACCTCACTAAACTGAAGTTGTTATGTACACTCTGGAGGAACTCCCTGTAATAATCTCAGCAATTTATTACTCAAGCTCTCCTCTGACACAGTTCTGGTTTGATGGCGGCAGCTTCGCAGATTCCCCAGAGCTCTCTGAGAACCTGAGCACAGTCACGCTGGCACAGGAAAGCAGCTCTGGCAGCGCTCTGTGATCTGCGGATATCACGCTGCGATGCATTTACGTCTGCCAGATTTTAATACCAACATTTGCTGCTAGAAAAACATTCCTCCCCCCTTCTCCTCTGTCTCCACTGAGCTGCTTCATTGCAATCCAGTGATGTAGATGTGTTTCCACTCGCCTTCTTTCTTTCTTCACCCAGTGTCTGAGAAATACACATCATTTCAATGAACTACAATAACAAATACTGGAAGGACGCATGCTGTGATTTTATTTATTTACTGACAGATTACTAACATTTAGCTTTTCTTCAGCTAGCTCAAAAACTGTTGATCCGATTCGCTTCAAACCTGGCGGATATTTAGCTAAGGACTAGAGTAAGTGCATAGTTAAGTTTGAGTTAATTTGCATAAACGGTAGTGATGGGATTTCCGGCTCTTTTTAGAGATCCGGCTCTTTCGGCTCGGCTCACTAAAAAGAGC